GGGACCTCAGAAGGCTTTTAGGACCAATTAGTAGGCTCTGTGTCCAGGAGAAAATGAATATACTTACCAGTAATGTTAATGCTCATCCACGGCTCCTCTGGGAGGATCTAAATTGTTGAAGCGAACACACTTATGTTGTTGTGGCATGCCATTGAATCAGAACCAACTTATAGCTGACCTTCTGGCAAGTTTTCAGAGGCAGTAAATCGCAAAGGAAATTACTCATCCTTCTCCTGCAGAGTAGCTGGTGGATTTGAACTGTGTCATGTGCCTTTGGAATTGCAGGCAGCTTCTTACCACCAGGCCACCAAACTCACATATGTTGTTGTTAGGTGCCATCAAGTCCAGCATGGCTCATATTGACCCTATGAGCAGCTGACCTGAACCCTTTCCTATTCTGTGCCATCCTCATCATCTCTGACACATTAGAGCTCATTGCTGAAGTCATCACATCAATCCATCTCATATGGGGGTGGGGGTTACTTCTGATGCTACATTTTTTCAAGCATGATGCTCTTTTCCAAGGAATGGGCTTGCCTAGTTACATGTCCAAAGAATGAAAATGTTTTTTCATCTTTGCCTCCAAGGAGCACTCTGGCTCACTTTTTAAAACATATCTATTTGTTCGTTTGGTAGTCCATGAAATGTTAAAAACTCTAACATGAAAGCTCAGAGGCATCAATTCTTCTCCTCTCATCCTTATTCACTGACCAGCTCTCTGGCACATAGTAGGTGACTGAGAAGACCATAGCCTGAATCAGGCACACCTTAGTCTTCAAACTGACACTGGTGTTCAATGCCTCTAATGTGGTCTTGAGATGACTTAAGGTCATATTTTGGCACCTGTGAACTAGTTTGCATTAAAATTACTCCACAGGAAAACACACAGATTATGAGAATTTCTTTTAAGAAACATTCTCTTTTTTATTCCAAATAAATTACTACCAATTTCAATTTACTAAAATGCATTTCCTTTTCCTTGATATGAAACTTATTGTTGTTGTTATGTGCTGTCGAGTTGTTTGCGACTCATAGCGACCCTATGTAAAACAGCCCTAAACCCTGCTCTATCCTGTGCCAAACACATTGCCTCTGACACACTCATCCCGATTACCCCAGTCACTGAATCAATCCACCTCACAGAGGGTCTTCCCCTCCTGCGCTGTCCCTCTACTCTACCCAGCATGATGTTCCTCTCTAAAGACCTGTCTCTCCTTACAACATGTCCAAAGTATGTCAGACGAAGCCCCAGAATCCTTGCCTCCAAGGAGTAGCCTGGTTTAACCCTCTCTACGATGAATCTGTTTGTTTTCTTGGCAGTCCATGGTACATTCAATACTCTTCACCAGCACCACAGCTCAAAGGCATCAATTCTCCTTCTATCCTCCCTAGTCATTGTCCAACTCTCTGATAAATAACAAGTGACTGCAAAAACCATGGCCTGTATCAGGTGGACCTTAGTCTCCAGAGAGACACCGTTGCTCTTGAGTACTTTAGAGAGGTCCCTAACAGCAGACTTTCCCATCGCAATACATTTTTTTATTTCCTGGCTGCTGGTGCCAAGAGTGTTGACCATGGAGCCAAGCAAACTCATTAAGCAAGTACAATATACACATTTATTTATATTATTGTCTGATGTTTTCAAGTAATGGAAAATGTAAAACAAATATGAGTACTGTCCCATACATAATAAAACTTGTTTCTTTAAATTACTAAAATCAGTAGAAAGCACTGGCAGTTGAAATTTCAAAAGCTGGCAAATATATATTTGCAAAGGAAGGGACAATAACTTTAGTCAAAACATTGCTTCATGTAACTATTATAATCCACACAAAATAGTAACTGTCCATGTCATAGACAAGTACCAGGCCCTTGTTGAACTGTTATTATTCAGGAAATGGCAAAGTTCTTTTTCAGAAGCAAAGTTTAACCAGCGTTGTAAACCAAGCCTCTGCCATATATTATTAGGCATTATACGTATGACAACAGTCCAGAATAAGAGGTACATTTAAATGAGGACTGGGGGCATAGGAAGAGGTAATTGTCCAACAATGAATGAATATTTTTAAAAAAGTGAACTGGGGGAAGGAGCGGGGGTAAAATCTGCAACGATGAATGAATGAAAATCTAACTTTTCTGTAAACTTTCATTAAGATCATAATTGTTGTTGTTGTTATGTGCCGTCGAGTCGCTTGCCACTCATAGAGACCCTATGTACAACAGCTCTAAAGCCTGCTCTATCCTGTGCCAATCTCATTGCCTCTGACACACTCATCCCAATTACCCCTGAATCAATCCACCTCATAGAGGGTCTTCCTCTCTTGCACCATCCCTACACCCTCCCAAGCACGAAGTCCCTCTCCAAAGTCCTGTCCCTCCTTACAACATGTCCAAAATATGTCAAATGAAGCCCCAGAATCCTTGCCTCCAAAGAGCAACCTGGATCACAATTAAAATGAAAAAAAAAAAAAAAATTAAAAAAAAACCCAACCAAACAACCCAACAAAAAATGACTAGGGGAATCATGGCCAGGCTGCTGTACCACTCTGGGTTAAGAGTCCCAAAAGTCCCATACAACCCAGCAGGATAGCCCCTGAGGCAATATGCCCAGTTGGTATGCTTGTGAAAGCAGGAAGGCCTGACAGCTAAGCACGAAATCTTTCAGAAGGCAGGGGAAAGTCTGAGCAGATCCAGCATGGTTTGCATGTCACCCATGCAGACATGCTGTTATAGCATCTACTGTGGCTGACAAGCGCTGTGAGGCTAGGATTCTCTCAGGACCAGATTCATGACAGAGCCCCTTCTTGAGAGGAAGCAGAACCCTCACACCCCAAACCACTCACCATGGTTTGTACTCTCTGTTGACTCTGGTCATAAGGGCTGGAGGCAAAAGCTAGGAGCCACAGCAGGGCCTCTGATGGGTCAGCTTCTGACATCAGCAACTGTTCAATTGCAATATCAGCCCATCCACCAAAGTGAATGAACAAAAACCAGCTCTCAAAGATATCTCCACAGGATCTGGAACAGAAACAAAACCATAGTAGCAACAAATTGATTTCTTTTTCTCTCATTGTTCTTAAAGCATCTCAAATGTTTGTGAAGGTAAGCTTAAACCATATTTACCCACTGAACCACACATGCAAAGCAGGCAAATCAGGTATGTGATGCACAATGTCTATTGTACTCATTACAGATTATCCAAAGGGATTCTTCTTCAAGATCACCACTCCCTAACTCAGGTCTGGGGCTGGTGAACAGTGAAATCTGGACATCCAGGAGTCTCACTGAGCACAGACCCTGAGAGAGCAAGGCTCTGGCCTATGGATGCTAAAAAGTGAGCCCTAGAGAAGCACTGCCCCATCTCCTGCATGGCCTGAACCCTGGGCTTGGTGGAGATGAAGTCTCCAACCTGGCTTCACAGCCAAGAAGAGTAGTGCTCAGAGTTCATCTTGAGGCCAAGGGGCCTGCTGCCTCTCCCCTTCAACACAAGGCAAGGAGGGGACAAGTTAGGTTCAAGCAGAAACAAATACTTCCTTTCAGACCAGACTGGCACTGAATCAGTTCATTCTGGTTAGAGCTCCTACTGAAAATTTGCAATTCCATCACGGATACACTTAATCAGAATCTACATTTTAATAAGACCCCCCAGGTAATTCTTATAGATTGCCCAACTAGGGTGTTCAAAGTCCTGGACTTGACAAAAGGTTGTGTTTGGTATTTTTGTATTTAGGCATTTTTTTATGAGGTAATTTTAACAAAATGGATTGGCATGGTAACTGTAACAATGGCCTTATGCATGATGGAGATGGTGAGGATGGAGTAAAATGGGGCAAGTGATAGAGCTGGTGATGATGGCAAAGGACGGGGTAAGGGATGGGGATGGTGAAGATAGGGCAGGGGATGGAGGTGGTGAGGAATGCACAGAATAGGGCAAGGTTCAGAAAAACAGTTTTCATAGGACCCCTATACATGGCGATCCATGGCAACTAACAGCAACAACACTGTATTCTTTATTGTCATCATCTATACGTCAATGCTGAAAAGTTAAACCTGCTGCAATTAATATTATATAGAGATACCCTGTCATTTAGCAATGCAGAAGAGAAGTTTCCACCTAATTGGATCTCCGAGTGCTTTGCTCCAGGCTGTTTGGGGTAAACAGAGAAGGGCAAGATGTGCCATCAGCTTAGTTAGGAATTTTCCATCTGAAACAGGGGCTGTGGCTGACATAGGAGGGTTCCAAGCTGCAATGGCTCTGTCTTTGCTGAAATCTGATACCTCATTTGTTTGCTTGGTCCAGGGAATTCCTGTCCTCACCTCCCTGGGTTACTGCTTTCCTGCTAGTTAAGTCCTCCTTGAGAATAGGTAGCTAAATCCTCTCAAATCTATATTGAGAAAATAGTGAGAAAAAGATTTAAGGAAGAGAGTATTTGCCTTAATCCTTTGTCACTAAGAGTGAGAGCAACTAACTTAGCAAGCCAGAGATCCAGGTTGTGTGGGCTGCATTACAGTAAGGCTGGGCTATGGCATTCCAATGCAAAAATAAGGGCTCTGCTGTATCTTCGCCTGGGACTCCTGGGAGAGATGAGTGAGCAGTGGGCTCACCTACTCCTTGCTTCCATGTTGAAATCTGGCCTATATCAGGTTCAAGGCCTGCAAAGATGGGCCTGGATATTCTCCCTGTTTCCTAAAAGTAACTGAGTGTGAGAGTGGTCCTTGGCTGACTGAGCCTGAGTCTGTGGGCAGAAAACCCCTCCCACAGTGGACCCCAGAGACTGGTTAAGGCAGGAATACCAGTCCCATTAGGCTTTGAGTCTACAGTATACTCTCCAGCAGAGATGACCAGAAATGTGGTGTATGAAGGTGACAGGTGCTAGGGGTGTCAACAGAAGCAACACTCTTATCCCCATTGGCTTGACTGTTCTTTTTGTCTATCCTCTGCTGTTAAGAATCTTGGGAAGTGGAATGAGTCATTGGCACCAGAAATTATCATGGAAATAAGAACACTGTGTGTGGGCTCAGTGAAGAGATTGGAAATTATTCCAATAGGGGAACAGGGTAATAGTAATGCATGAAGATGGCAGACTAGTATAGAAAATGAATAAAATATTTATATTTTAGAACCAGGGAAGTTAGGCTAAAAGGCTGTTATTTTTTTAAAAATTTAAAAACTCTAAAACTTGTTGCTGTTGAAACACAACTGACCCTCCAGCAGGTTTCCCAAGGTTGTAAATGGCAAGAAAGACTTCATCTTTCTCTCATGAGCCTCTGGTAGATTTGAACCAATGGGGAAGCATCACCTTTCCATTAGCACCACAACTTCCTGTGATCTACACCACCACAGCTTCCCACAAACAACTCTGAAATCTCTAAATTTGAATGCTTATAGCTGAAGTTGAGGAAAATTAAATCAAGTCCATGGGAACCAAAATTTGATCTTAAGTCTATCCCACTCGAATTTCAAAACCATCTCAGGAACAGGTTTGAGGCCTTGAGCACCAATGAGCGTAGACCAAATGAGCTCTGGGAGGATATCAAGAAAATCGTCCATGAAGAATGCAAAAGATTATTACAAAGGCTGAAAAAGAAGAAAAGACCAAGGTGGATGTCAGATGAGACTCTGAATATTGCATTAGAGCACCGAGAAGCCAAAGGTAAAGGAAGAAACCAAGAAATCAAAGAGCTGAGCAGAAAATTTCAAAAGGCAGCCCGGGACAACGAAGCAAGATACTATAATGAAATGTACAGAGAGCTGGAGTCAGAAAATCAAAAGGGCTGGACTGCTCAGCGTTTCTTAAGCTGAAGGAGCTGAAAAACAAATTCAAGCCACGGGTGGCAATACTTAAGGATACTTTGGGCAGAATATTAAATGATCCAGGAAGTATCAAGAGAAGATGGAAGGAATACACAGAGTCACTGTATCAGAAGGATTTGGCTGACACAGAAGAATTTCATGAAATGACATATGAGCAAGAGCCTATGGTGATGAAAGAGGAAGTTCAAATTGCTCTGAAGGAATTGGCAAAAAACAAGGCTCCAGGAGTTGACGGCATACCAACTGACATATTTCAACAGAGAGACACTGACCTGGATGTGCTCACTAAGTTGTGCCAAGAAATCTGGAGAACAGCCAGCTGGCCCATTGACTAGAAAAGATCGGTATTTGACCCAACAGAGTGTGGAAATTATCGAACAATATCATGAGTATCACATGTAAGCAAGATTCTGCTGAAAATTATCCAAAAACTGCACAGATGTGCAGGCTGGATTTAGAAGAGGTTGTAGTACTAGGGATATTATAGCTAATGTCAGATGGATCTTAGCAGAAAGCAAAGAATACTAGAAGAATGTCTATCTGTGCTTCATTGATTATGCAAATGCTTTTGATTGTGTGGATCACAATAAGCTGTGGCTGACTCTGAGAAGAAAGGGAATCCCAGAACATTTGATTGTGCTAATGTGAAACTTATACTCGGACCAAGAGGCAGTTGTCAGAACAGAGCAAGGAGACACTACATGGTTCAAAATCAAGAAGGGGGTTCGTCAGGGATTTATTCTGTCTCCATACTTTTTCAATCTGTATGCAGAACAGATCATCTGAGATGCTGGGCTACATGAGGAGGAATGTGGCATCAGGATTGGTGGAAGAGCCATCAACAACCTGCGTTATGCAGATGACACAACTCTGCTTGCTGAAACTGAGGAGGACCTGAAGCGCTTGCTGCAGCCTCCTATATAGACTGAAGCTCAACATCAAGAAAACAAAGATTCTAACCACTGGGCCAATTGGCAGCATAGTATGGATGGTGAAGAGATTGAGATAGTTAACAGTTTTAGTTTACTTGGCTCCATGGTCAACTCTCTTGGTAACAGCAGCCAGGAAATCAAAAGACGAATTGCATTGGAAAAGTCAGCTGTGAGGGACCTCTCAAGAGTACTGAAGAGCAACGATGTCATACTGGAGACTAAGGTGCACCTAATCCGGGCTATAATCTTTGCAATTACGTGCTATGCATTGAAGAGTTGGACAGTGACTAGGGTTGATAGAGAATTGATGCCTTTGAGCTGTGGTGCTGGAGAAGAGTGTTGAATATACCATGGACTTCTAGGAGAACAAATAGGTTTGTCCTGGAGAGGGTGAAGCCAGAATGTTCCCTGGAGTCAAGGATTTTGAAGCTTCGTCTGACATACTTTGGGCATGTTGCAAGGAGGGACTGGTCCTTGCAGAGGGATATCATGTTTGGCAGAGTGGAGGGGTGGCGAAGGAGAGGAAGACCTTTGATGAGATGGATCGATTCTGTGACCAGAGAGGTGGGAATAAATGTGTTTGAGATGGCTAGGTTGGCACAGGATAGAACAGCGTTTAGAGCTTTTGTACATAGGGTCACTATGAGTTGCAAGCGACTCGATGGCACATAACAACAACAACAACATAGGGAAATAACAAATGTAAGAGGGTACTTGAGCCTCCAGACTAATACAGTCCAGGAAAAAGGTCAGCAATCTATTTCTGAAAAATCAGTCAGTAAAAAACCAGTGGATTACCAAATTCAAATGACTTTGTCCATGAAGGTTGTCAGGGATCAGAGGCTGGCTTGATGGGAAGTAACAACAACTGTACAATACTACAGGTTCATTTACATTACAATGGACTTATAATTTTGGTCAAATGATTACTGGAAAATAATATAAATAAGCAGAGAACATTTCATCCTTAATGTGCAAACAAAGTTTAAACTTCACTTCTAAGAGAGATGGAGAAGATTAGGGGCAGAGAGACCACAGATTCCCAACAGATAGGTGACATTTTTTACCTATTGTTTGATGTTTTGATTATTATGCATGGGTATGTTCTTTTTTTTTTTTTAAAAAATCTAAAGTCAGATATTATTTAGAAGGTTTTATAACAAATATATACCAATTTAATCTTTTTAACCTAGTCTGCTTTCACTTGCTGCACTTAGTGTTGGTGACAGGGCTCATCTGTTAGGTAAGGGTCACAGATCAGTAATGGCCTGCTCAAAAGGTAAAGTTCAAGAGAAACAATGTATGAAACAGATTTAAGAATGGTCATATTTTTCTTACCCATGGGTCTGGCCTTCAACTACTGGTCTGAGCATTTCAGAAATGTGCTTCAACTTCTGGCACCAAAGTCTTTGTGGGATATCTGTGGGTGGATAGAGAAGGCAGGAAAAACTCAACAAAATTCAAACCTATTAGGATCAGGGGAGACAAGACTGAAGCATCCCTGGGTTGTAGTTCCTTCCATCTAGGGATCATTGCTTTCATGGCTGCTGGGCCATCCCAGGGGCCACACAAGACAAGAGACTTTAGTGTGTAAAACTTTGGGAAGAAGGAACAATTTTCTTGGCTCTTAAGTGACAGAAGGCTGACCTGTGAGCCTCTGCATACAGGTGGCCCAAGTGGGTTGTCTTGATCTCCTACCATACCAGAGACAAAGGAGCACACTAAGCTGTAGGAGAAAAGTTGAGGGGAAAAGAAAAAAAAAAACCCAAACACAAGACTCTGTGCTGAGAGCAAGCACTCTCCATTGCTTGTGGAAAGAGAAGACTTAGCCATTCCTGGAGTTGTAGGTCCCTCCATATGGGAGTCCCTGCCTCCATGGCTGTGGGTCCATCCCTGGGGCCAAAGAGGACAAGAGACTTCAGTATACAGATATAGAACTTCAGGCATAGGGAAGGGATTTTTTTATAGTTATCTTTGAGATTGAGAGAGAGGGAGGGCTGACTTGAGACTCCCTGCACTCAATCTGCTTGAGCTACCTTATCTCTAATCTCGTGACATTCCAGAGACAAAGGAAGACACTAAACTTCAGGAGAAAACGTGCATGAGAAAAATGCTTGAGTAGAGCATATGGTTTCACACCATTCAGCCACTTCATATATGAAGGAGGCCTATAGAGTTGGTTTCAGGGAACTACTTCAAGTCGAGATTTCCATAGTGCTGCACTGAAGAATGGAGAGAATCTCAAGGACTTTAGGAAAGGCAAATTTTCCCCACAAGGACTTACAGTGGAGTGAGTAGATCATCACAGTTTAATGTGGCAACACTTAGTAACATTATAAAGGCAAGAACCTACAAGAACTTATACAGATACAACAGAAATGATCTGACACTTAGCAAGAAAAACTTCACATAATGTCAAGAAATCAACAGGTAGCTTCAAACACTGTGAGAAAACAAATTAAGCCTTCTCAAAAAAAAAAAAAAAAAAAGCAGAGATTATCCCAGAGTTAAAAAGTCAGAAGAGTCAAGAAGGCATATGATATATGTTCATATGGAGACCTTAGAACAACTACGAATAAAAGTACAAATGATGGAAGAAACAAAGGAAACCACAAATAAAGGGAATAACTTAGAGGTGCCAAATAAGGAAAAAAAAAACAGATTAAGTTCTGATTTTTCAGCAGACAACATGTGGGCAATAAGACAATGGGATGGCATGTACAGAAAGTTGAAAGACAACAATTGCTAACCCAGGATTCTGTACCCAGCAAAGCTCTCCATAAAATATAAAGGAGAAATCACATCCTTTGCAGAAAAGTAAGAATACCCACAAGTATTTTAATGGATGTTTTTCACACAGAGACACCAAAGGAAAGTGGATGAAGCATAGTAACAAGAAACAACAACAAAAGAAACACAGCAAAATGGTAATGATAAAACCTGGCCTGTCCCCATCAACAAATGAATGGATAGAGAAGCTGTGGTATATTCACACAATGGAATACTACGCTGCACTGAAAAACAAGGAACTCATGCAATATTATTCAAAATGGGTAACCCTGGAGGACATTATGCTGAGTGAAATATCTCAGTCACAAAAGGACAAATATTGCATGGTGCCAATGTTGTAAAACAGGACTGACATCGGGGTTGGGGGGAGACTGAGAAAGATGGGATAAATAATGTATACTGCATTTAAACAGATGAGGTAGAAAACTGTTTAAAAGGGATATGTGATTAGGTATTATTATCATGACAGGAGTCCAGAACAAAGGCTGCACAGGTAATACATTTTTAAAATTTATTTTTAAAAAACAAAAAACAAACCCTGGCCTGCCAATAATCACACTTAATGGACTAAATGCATGAATCAAGAGAACAAGAGTAGCAGAATGGATAAAAACGCAATGTTCATCAATATATTGTCTAGAAGAGCTACATCTAATAAACAAAGAGAAAGTTAGACTAAAACAAAGGCTATGAAAAAAAAAATTACCAAGCAAATGGCATCCACAAAAAGGCAGAAGCGGCAATATTAATCTCTGATAAAATAGACTTCAGAATGAAAATCACCATAAAAGATAAGGAAGGGCATGACATAATGATTAAAGGCAGAGTAGATCAAGAAGACATAACATTGGTCAACATCAATGCACCAAATCATAGACCTGCTAAATACATAAAACATCTGTTAACAGAACTGAGTAAAGAAACAGCACCACAATAGTAGTAGGAGACTTTAACACACCACTCTCACCAAAAGATAGGTCAACTCAAAAGAAAAGTGCAAAAGACTTAAACTACACTCAATCTTGTGTATATATTCTGAGCATTGCACCCAACTAAAACACAATTCACTTTCTTCTCAAGTGTACATGGTACATTCTCCAGAATTTATCACCTATTAAGACATAAGGCAAATCTCAACAAACAAAAACACTGAAATAATACAAAGTATCTTCTCAGATCACAATGCCATAAAACTAAAAATCCCAAGGGGATACAGCTAATAAAACCATCAACATAGAACCTAAATAAAAACCCTGCTAGAACATGATTGGGCTATAGAAGAAATAAAGAAGGAAATAAAAATTTCCTTGACACAAATGAAAATGAAAATACAACATACCAAAACCTCTAGGGTGCAGCTGAGGCAGTCCTTGGCAGGCAGTTCACAGCAATAGGCGAACACATAAAAAATGAAGTAAGAAGCACAATTAATGATCTAACTCAACACCTTCATCAAATGGAAAAACAATCAAACCCAACAGCCTCTAGAAGAAAGAAAATTGTAAGAGCTGAAATAAATAAGACAGAAAACAGAAAAACAATTGAAACCATCAAATAACACCAGAAGTTGGTTTTCCAAAAGGGTGAATAAAATTGGCAAACCATAAACCATTGGGAAACTTAACCAAAGAAAAAAAAGGAGAAGACACAGATAACTTGATTAAGAAATGATGGAGGTAACATGATAACAGAATCAGAGGAAATGAAATCTATAGTATCAGGCAAGAAGCTGCACTACAATCCCAGAGGAACACGGTTCAAATCCACCAGATGCTGTGCTGGGGAAGGAGGGGCAATCTCCTCCTGTACCAGTCAGATCTGATTTGACAGTACACGCACACACACACAAAATAATAAAATG